TTTCTAGGACACCTGCGACCACAATTGTCAGACGATTACATATTGTCAGACGATTACATATCATGTGTCCAGCGCTTCAAAGTGACCGTGGACGCGGCTTTTCAGGATGCATGACCTGCCTCAACGTGCACAGCGCGACTTCGCTCACATGACACGTGCACGTACCATATGCGTCGAGGTGTGACCCACACAGCCCCATGACCCAGATTCACCAAGCAAGTGGGTTCGGCCGCCGTGGCTGCTAGACCTGGACAAGCCCTGTGAAAGTGTGGGGCAAACATGTTGAATGTTGACTCAAGATGGCACTTCTCATTTACAACCAACTCTCATCACGACCATTTGCTAGACAAGATGTTATTTCTCGCCCAAACTTGAGGCAAAAAGTTGTATTCACTAGGGAGAAGATGGGCACTGGTCTTTCAACATGTATGCACTTAGCCACCGCGTCGCCCGGTGCTAAGGCTTCTTCGGCCAGCTGAGATGACCTTCCTCCATAAGATGGGAAAGGTGATGCCACGCGGCTTTCGATGTAGTTTTGGGTTTCAACTGGCGATCGGACAGGTCCGCAACATGCCAGGACCCGTTGCTAGCTTGTGAGGTAATCCGCAAGCATTTGCACACTTCAGACTCCTCATTGTCAAGCAGAGGCTCAGCCCCTCCACCAGACTGCCTACTTAGAACTTGAAGCACAGCCTGTATGTGATTGGTGCGCATATTTCGCCCGCTAAATAGACCATAACAGACCAGCTGATGCAACGCTTCTGTGATGCTTGTGCTCAGTGTTGACGGCCCGGATGATGTTCGGATGGCCATCGTCCGCGTGTTGAAGCTTCTTGGCCCATCACTTTGACTGTTCTTGATCGTGAAGATCGCGAGACAGTATGAGGAATAGTAGGGGTTCGTGGTTGCTATTTGTTAAACCCTAAACTCTAAATAGTATCCAGTTGCAACAGTCAGCAGGACTCTTAAGGGTTCAGGTCTCACCAGCTAAATAGAAGACAGACATCTACCGAGGCTGTGCCGGACCGAGGCGGACGACAATCCGATCATGCCTTGTGCCAAGGGGGTTTAGGGTTCAGGGTTGTGGGTTCAGGTGTTCAGCACAAAAGCAATCATGCAAGTTGCAGGTGCGCCGGAAAGCAAGTTGCAATGTGTGCACAGGTTGCGACTGTGGGTTTAAAAAAGGTTCGCACGACACCTGAAGACTCCACCGGGTTTTTTTTGAAGACAGCGACCTGATGCAAGGGGTTTGCCTTTGAGCCCGGCAGCCCAGGCCCTTATACAACACGGAGAACATGGAGAGGTTTCCCGACCTCCCTGGATCTCCGAAGGCTCCGCCAATTGATCCGCCATCTCATCAGTGCAAGGTAATCAAAGTGGTAAAAACGGCAAGACGGAACCGGCCTGCAGAAAGCGCGGGAACTTGTTGTTTGGTGGACTCGGAAGTTGGGCGAAAGAAAGACGATGAGAATCAAGAAAGAACATCGGCGCAAGAGAAAGTAGAAAGAAGTCCGGAAGAAAAAGGGAAGACATAAACAAGTAGCGAATGAAACAAAGGCAAAGCGACAAGCGCGACACAAATTCAACGGCATTGGTGAAGATAGTGACGAAGAAAGAAAAAGAAAACACACAAGTCAAGAAGCCCAAAGCAAACAAACACGGACTCAGCGAACGGCTGGAATACAGTCTCGGACCATTTTGTTTGCAGATGGAGGGTGCGCCCTCCCGCCAACCCCTCCGGTGTTTTGAGTTGGCCACGCCTGGACCCGTCTGTTTTCACCTGGCAGGGGCTGCAACCATCTGAACCCTAAGAGCGAGTATGAGACCTTTGCAAATAGGGGCTTCCCCCCGGCAAAATTTGTTTTAAGCTGTACACGTCTGGAGCATTCGGTTTCCAAACCGGGGGGGGGGGGGGGCTAAGGTTTGAGGATTAGGGATGTTTCGGGGGGCAAATCTATATACATATATATATATATATATATATATGTTTATATATATGTATATATGTATATATATTTTTTTCTAGTTTTTTATTATTTTGTTTTTCCCGGTCCTGGGATCCCACCCCCCCTGGCATGGTCCTCCCCCCTCCCTAGCCCAAACCTCTCAAAAGTTAGAACAATCACAGGGATGGGGCCCCTCAAGTCGCGATCCTCGAAAGCGTCTTCGCTTTTGACGCCTGAAAGCTGCTATTCTTGTAGCTGTCGTCGCTCGGTCGTTGCGTCTCAATAGTCCCAACAGCAGCAAGGATGGGGGTTTCTGCTGTCACAATCCTTGTAACTGTCATCACTTTTGGAGCTCCGTGTGGTCTTGGCGTCTGAAAAGTGCCAACAGTCACTAAGTCTATATCTGGGGTTAAAAGCTGTACTTAGGCTTCATCGTAAGCTGTCACTACATCCCAGGAACCTCCAAATAAACTTGTGTCCGACAGAATATGGGGTATGAAGCAGGATCATGTACGAATACCCCCCGCCCAATAAAATCAGATGGACAGGACAACCAGAACTGCAGGGACAACAGGTGGGGAGAATCACCAGCACAGCATAGGTACCACCGGGGGGGGGGGGGGGAAGGACCACCAACACAACAGAACCACAACACAGGGGAGGGGCAGAACCACATGGGCAGGACCGCCAGAACCACAGGACAACCACCAGCACAACAGACAACCACAGGGTTTAGAGGGGGGACCATATTGGGGGGTGGGGGGGTTGGGGGGTTGGTGTAGCAACCCTGGATCATATAGGGAGGTGCCCAAAGCATCTCCGAACGACGCAAAGCCCCTTACAACCAGACCCTTCTGCTAAGAAATCTGGAGTCACCTACCCAGAAGTGAGCCTTAAACAAATGGTCTTCCTGGATTGAAAACAGCTTGGGAAAACTTATGACTTTGTATGTCAATTTTTCCCCATAGCTATGAAACTTCAGATCTAGGCATGAGATCCCAAGCAAACCCCTGGGAATCCCTTTGAAATCATAATATCACCCCCCATGTAGCCCTAGGGACCTAGCTTTCAAAGCTTGGGATCTTCTACCTCCAACTGGACACCTCACAGGCCCCCAGAAAACTCGGCTGCTTGCAAAGATTTGGCCCGAGACGCTCCCTTGCGCATCGGGGGGCGGGGCACGCCATCCGTTCACCATGGCCAAGAGGCCGGCAGAGATCCAGGCAGCGTTGGCTTGACGGAGTTTAGGGTTAGTTGTGGTTTATGTATGGGCTATGTGTTTAAGATGGGGTTTAGGGGTTTAGGCTTTTTTGAGTTTCGGGTTATGGGTTTATGGATTAGGGTTTCGAGCATAGTCTTTTTGGGTGAAGAAGCATCAGCTAGTTCTGTAAGGACGGGTTCATGTGATTCCCTCTCACAGTCTCTAATATTCCGCCATTGTGTCAGGGACCTCCTTCTGGGGCGATTGTACGTTCCATGTTCAATCCAGCCCACGGCAATGCAATGCTTTTTTGTTTCGCAACAACTACAAGAATTCCTTTCCGCCGAATGCACTCCCCACGGAGTGGCATGGACCCTCACCCTTAAGCCCTATCCTCTAACCCCAAACCCAAAAAGGAGTCACAAAAAGCAGAATCTTAAACCCCAAGCCTATCCAGGCCACCAACGTGAAACTCCTCGAAGAGCTGTGCCAGCCAGGTGCCGGGCCCCCTAATATTAGATATTCCTTGGGGCTGCCAGGGTTTGAACAAAAATGTGCTATTTAACATTCCCGGGGGTGGGGGGGGGGGGGGTTAATAATAGGGGGGGGATGACTTGATGTGTCTCCGTGAGATGGACAGCAATGTTCTTTCTCTTCCCGCCCTGGCATTCAACCGAGCAAGCTAGGCTGCACCGAATCTGACAGGAGACTTTCTTACGGGAAAGATTCGCGCTGCGTTGGTGCGGGAGACCTTCAAAGCCACGGCTACCTGCCCAAGCTGCAGGAAGATTCAAGAAGGACGCGATTCTGTCCTGAAGCGAGACCTTTGGAACGTGCCTCGCAGGCAGCAGCACGCCAAGAGTCTTGAGCCATGGACAAATGCAAGGCACACAATGTTCCGTTCGCCAACGGCGTTGGATAGGTGTAATGATGTGGAAGGTCGCACAAGGTGGCTTTAAGGTTGAAGGTTTAGGTTTAGGGCCCCACTCCTCCAGGCAAGAGCTTGTATCTCCGCCGCCTCAAATCTGCAGGTTGTTTGCTCCGGAGGTTGCACCTTCCATGAGCCGGAGGAGTGCTACGGCTTGGGAGTTGTGGTGCATGCGCTCTGCAACCTGCAGAACTTGATGAGTGCCTGGGCCTATGTCCTGCTTCAATCCCCTCCCTCTAATGTTACCCCCCTCCCCACCCCCCTAGTATTAAATATTCCTGCATTTTGTTATGGGGGTGTGTTTAGTATTAGGGGGAAGGGGTCGAAACCCCAAACCTCAAACCTCAAACCCTGATCCCTAATCCCAAAGCAGCGCAGGGAAAGTTTTGCCTTGCTGAGGTGAGGAGTGGTACAAGCAAGCAGCCGAGCATGTCTTCAAGTGTCTCTCCGCCACCGAGAAGATCCCAGACACCCAGGCAGATAGCAAACCCTAAATTACTAAATCCTAAACCCGAAAACGTAAGCCCGAAACCTAACCGACACCCTAAACCCGAAACCTTACACTGTGTGCACCGAGGCAGATCGAATGGCCCGCTTGGCGGAGGTTATCGCCGTGGTGGGCTTGGCAGTTGGCCTCCGTGCCTTCTACCGCTCCCTGCCCGAGGGGCCTCTCGAAGAGCCTCCTATTCCCGCAGGCGTGGAGGGAAACCCCAGGTACACTAGCGCGGCCGAAGTGTTCAACAACTTGGAACCTCGAGAAGGGCACGGCTGGGGAGTCGGCTTGAAGATCGAAGATGTCAAGCCCGGCTTGATGGTGAACGGCGCGAAGTTCTTGGGGGAGGAGTTTTCCAAGAGAAAGTTCATGGCAGTCTCACCCATGAACAAGTGGGCCCCAGCCCTTTCCACAGGCAGCAATTTCTTGCGATGGTGCTCAGTTGCCTCTTGGTTGAACCTCAGTGTTGCCTCATACTTTTGATCATGTTCCAAATTTGCCTTCTGAGTGCGCAGGTTACGGGAAGATAAGCTTGAAATTCCCTCCCCTTAATATGAAGCCCCCCGACCTAGTATTCAGGATTCCCCCAGAATATAATGGCTACTGTAAGGAATCTTCAATGCTGGGGAGGGTGGGGGGTTTCATACTAGGGGCAGGGGATGGGTCAGCACAAAGCAGACTAGGTCTATTCTCCGATCCAACACGGCTATGAGACCCCCAGCTTCCTGTTCAAGAAGGCACAGGGAGCGCCCTCCTGAATGTGCAGGGAAAGAAGGTAGGGATGAGGGTCAGAATCCTGGATCCTAAATCCTAAGGCTGAAGCTTACATTCCTACGAAGATGGCAAGGAAGCTGCGGCAATTGTATCTTCAGAAGTAACAAGGGCAAGAAGAACGTGTTGGACCTTTCAGTTGCGCCCTGCGCTTTCGGGAGCCCTGAACAACAGTCTATGATGCCGGGTCAATAATTTAGTGTGGGGTTCACATGGTCCCCTATATCCCCCAAATACGGAGTTTAGGCCATGGCTCATATGAATCCCTGACTAATTTTAACGCTACGCGACCCGCCTCGGCCCGGCCCAGCGCATCCGCGTGAGCATGGTGATTCCGCAGCGCCCAAGTCGCTGGACCCCAAGCAATAAGGGTTGGGTTTAGGGTTTAGGGTTTAGGGTTTAGGGTTTAGGGTTCCGGGTTTATGGTTTATGGTTTAGTTTAGGATTGAGGGCTTAGGGCTCAAGGTTCATGCTTTGGGTTTAGGTTTTTTTTGGGAGTAGGGTTCAAGACGGTTCGGCTTGGATTGATCGTAGGGTTGAGCCAGGCCCCTCAGGGCGTAGGGGGAGTGGGGGGGGGGGGGGGGGGTGAGAAAAAGGGGTGGGCGCCTGCTGGGAGGGGCTTCAACTGCCTCTGGTCCTGGCGAACCGTCCGCTTGCGGACCCCGGTTTCCTAGGGGGGGTACCCATTTGAGGCAAAAAAAGGGGTCCGAAAAGTGGCTTTGGGTGTGGGGGGAGGATTTGGAGGGGGGTGCCTGTTTTGACAACCTATACACCTCCGGCCCGAGGCCTCGGCGGATTAGTTAGGGTTATATAGGGTAAAAAAAAAGAACTTTAATGGGGTAAGAAGAAGAGACTATATAGGGGTGTCCAGAAGGTTTGGTACATAAGTCAGTGAGGGGCTCATATGGCAAGAGAGCTTAAGCGGCTGCCTCCCGTAGCAATTCGAAAAGAAAAACTTTCAACCTTAAAGCCTAAACCTGAAAAACCCTCAGCTCTAAACCCTAAAAGCTAAACTCCACTCCATGCACCAAACGCAAAGTCGAAGAACCGACCCTACCCTGAATCGCGGACGCTTACTGCAGGCGCCGAGGGTCTCTGACAAAACAAGAACCTCAGCTCGAAACCCTAAACCTTACCCACGTGAAGGCGCCTGGCAGGGCGCTCAACCGGGTCGGCTTGGAGGATGTTGCTGCTGGCTACACCACTGCAGTCGGCTGCAGCTTCTGACGCAATGGCCACGTGGCCATTGCCAAAGCGCTGAAGGCTTTCGGACAAGTGAGCCCCTACACTGAAGCGTCTCTGGTGGCATTATGGTGTAGGGTTTAGGGCGTATGGGGTTACCCTACACCCAGACGTCTCAGATGGCACCGACCTTCATCGCCCCCGAAGCCCTAGGAAGCCCACCATGCAAGTGGCAAAGCCTTTACACCACCGATGCACCTCATGGTTTCAATTTGGTCCCCGACTGCGCCACTACTTAAGGGTTGGAAAGTAATCAGAACATGAACAGCAGGTGGGAGCAGTGGCCCAACCACAACCCACCCTCTTCCTCTATGAACTGACCCTCCCTAGAGTGTTCACTATGTCCGACATATACCACAATGGGAATTATTGATACTAGGGAGGTTCATCCTTGGAGAGGTGGCTAATATGTTCTGTTTGAATTACTTCTGTTATTTGAATCATTCAGGCTCCTGCGCTGCAGGGTAGACCCTAAACCCTTGCATCTGAGTGTTAGGGATTCGGGCTTAAGGAGCTCCTCACTCCCCATGGATGTGTAGAGTGACGGCCTGGGATCTCCTGGGACCTGGGAGGATGTACCGTAGCTTCCCCTCTGTTGGGCTTACGTAGGGTATAAACTCAATTCCTCTGGGCCTAGTGTGGGGCATGCCTGAAAGCCCAGGGTACTTGAAAGTAAGCGGAGCCACAGTAGGACAATAAGAGCCCTAAACCCCAAACCCTAAATAACCCTAAACCCTACACGCCCTAAGCCCCAATCCAAAGGCAGCGCAGTGAAACCTCAACCCTCCAAGTCAGGATTGCTTCGCTTTTGGCCGTGCTCTCGGCACCGAGCGCTACGACTCTCCCGACTTCCTCAAGGCCGCCGCAACTCTGCGGGCACACGGGGACCAGGCGGGCTTTGCGGTTAGGGTTTTGGGTTTAGGGTGTGGGGGCTTTGCGGTTAAGGGTTTGGGGGTATAAGGCTGTGGGTATATGGTGTAAGGTGTTTGAGCGTGTAGGGTGAGGGTTTTGGGTTGAGGACATCGAGAGTTTCGGGTTGAGGGTTTAGATGGTCCAGGGTGCCCTCCGCAAGGGGGAGGCAGAGCACTAGAAGCAGCAGGAGAAGAAGAAGAAGAAGAAGAAGAAGAAGAAGAAGGTTGAGGGTACAGTATTCGGCCTTGGACTTGGGGGTGGTTTCGGGCTTTCAGGGCAAGATTTGGGGCTTGTTGGATTTGGGGTCTTGCATGGAGACTGCAAGTTTGTGGGGGCTTTAAGTTTGGGTGTAGGATATGGGGTTCGGGGAGATCTACTTTCTAGATATACATTCTGTGGAGATTATGTAGGGGTTATAATCCCTTATTCCCTACTAGCCACAAGTAAGTTTTGTACATTGTCAGGTGCTCTTGGACGCCGCAGGTGTCGCAGCCTTCTTTGCCGCGAACACCGTCATGGTAGATGCTACAGGGCACAAGGGGGGAGACAGTGGCTTGGCGCCCTAACCCTAACCTTGAGCCCTAATCCTAAACCCTACACCCATCAAGCCCTAAGCCCTCAGCCCCATTCCTAAGCTAAACCCTAAACTTTGCACCCTGAGCCCTACAGCTCAGCCCTGACCATGAACCCAGCCTAAACCAAAAAGCTGGAGAGCGAGGTTGCGCTGGCTTTGTAATCGACACCTCCAAGCGGGTAGTTATCGGGTGGGTTGCCTATGTAGACTCACAAAGCCCCCTTACCCGTAGACAATTATACGTGAGCTTCATGCACGGGCGCCACCTAGCAACTACTCACCTGAAACTGCCCTTGAGGTGAAGCCAGGTTGCTGCAGGGATCAAATGCCATGTCATCTTGAGAACATGACCGGGACAGGTGGGAGGGAATGTCAGCCGCCGCTACAGAGACAGAGGTACGAGGAGGAGGAGGAGGAGGAGGAGGAGGAGGAGGAGGACGACGACGACGACGCTACGTACTGCTACTGCTACTACTACGACTACGACTACGACTACGACTACTACGACTACGACTACGACGACTACACTACTACACTACGACTACTACTACGACTACGACTACTACGACTACGACTACGACTACTACTACTACTACTACTACTACTACTACTACTACTACTACTACTACTACTACTACTACTACTACTTCTTCTGCTGCTACTACTACTACTACTACTACTACTACTAGTACTACTAGTACTACTACTTCGTGTGCATTTGAACCTCGTGAAGTTTGCAAGCAATGCGCTCAGGCGCGATCAAGATGCTGTTGAAGGTCGCCAACTTCAAGGTCCGCCTCAACCGGTACCTTGGCTGTGCTTTGGGAAGTTTTCAATTGTCAATTGCCTGTATTGTAAGGGGACCCTGACCACATACAAATTTCAGAGGGCTCAAACCCAGGTACTGCTGCTGCTGCTGCAGTGGGACCAAGTAATTCAAATGCCATAATGTGGTTGCAAACGTGAGGCCTGAGGCATGGAACGCAGAAGGCTTCGCCTTATGCTTGAAATCGAATCCGGCCTCATGCTTGAGATCATTCAAGTTTTGGTCTAAGCCAGCCATGCAGTTGCCTTTGTCAGCCTGCGGCACGTGAATTCCTTTTGGACAAGTCTCTTGCATGTCGTGATTGTGGCTGGTTTGGACTGTGGCTACCTTGCCTCTACGCCATGTACAGTGTGCCTTTGTGAAGTTGAGCTTTTCAACATGATGATGCACGAGTGATGTGTGCTTATTCACATGTGACACGTGTGAGAGCACAGGGACAGCTGCAACGTCCATATTGGAAATTCGGTAGCCCACTGGTGTTAAAGGGAGAGCGGAGTCGTGGATCCCCAGAATAGTCCCTACAAAATCCCCTACAATCATACCTATGTTCACTCCCCAACTCCCCCTTAAGCACCAGTAGGTCACTTGTTTCAACGCGGCAGAGACACCAAAGGCGTCACAGCCCTGACAAGTTGTCGGGATAAAGGGTCCGCGCATTTCCCCCGAATGGAGGTGCGGAGGTGTGGGAGGCTCGCAATCCTGACCGCAGCGGCTCCATGCAAAAGAGGGTAGGGACGCAAGGAGGCTTTTTGCACATTTTTGCAGATCCATGCTTTCAATCTTCATATCTTTCAGTTGCTTTCAATATCTTCAATTGCGTTAGGGGATTCACGCTTCTCTGCGCAGGAACGGGCTCAGTTCGCCACCTGAAGACGGGGCTCTCGTCGGAAGAGGGTTCGCCTGGCATGGCTTGCCTCAAGGGCAAGGACCACTGGGCGGCCAAGAAGCCCTCGAAGGTCCCAACAAAGCCTCTTGCATCATTTTACTACGTCCACTAGATGCCACAGGGTCTACAGAGTCGCAGCCGCCCCTTTCTCGAGGGCGGTCTGAGAAAGTCAGCGCTCAGAGCAGTAAGGGCATTACCGGCGGCTTCGCATTTTGATATTTATCTACCAGGTCGCCCCTGATGTCAGCCGGTGGCTGAGGCCATCGGTTGGCAACATCGCGAGCGCAAAAGGGCAGACCTTTCCCTTTTTGATGCAAGTGCACGCATCTGGGGGGCCTGGGGTCCTCCAATCCCATGTTCTACAGGCGACAAGGATTCATGACGCATCAGCTGCCTGCACTATCAGAAATCTTCTTTTATGGCGCCATCATGCTGTAGACTTGCCTCAAGACGAACAGCCAATCCAGCACCGTCCCCAACTCACGTGAGCTGGAGCATCAGTCCCATCCTGCCAGGTTTTCGTCCAAGCTACTTATAAAGGTCGACCCAAAATAGTGCGAAAGATTGTGCTTCCGTCCCCATATTGCCATCTACAGCCCTTTAAACGTCGAGCTCGCTCGGCCCCTCGCCAAGGCCCAGTTCGCCAGGGAGAAGTCCGGAGCTCAGACCCGAACCAACAGCAACCTGCCAGCTCCAACATCACGGAGGATCATTCAGGTTTATTGTAAATGCGCTATTTGTTGGCACTGCACCGAGAGAAGCTCAACAGGGGAGTCGCTGCGTGCACTTAGGTTTGAATGCCGGAAGCCCGCAACTTGCTTGCAGCTTTGCAGCTGTCGCTAAAGCAGAGAGGTCCATCTCCGAAGTCGAAGTCCGGTTTGCAAGTAGGGCCGCCTGATCTTGAGCAATACCAGGCTCAGAAGCTGATAAGCAGGGCTTTCGGATCCGGGACTAGGTACGTCCCATGGGTGTTTCAGGAAGGCTATTACAATCTCATCGCCGAGCTCCGGAAGTCCAGCGTGCCCCTGGGAGGCCAAGGGCTTGTGGGCTTCAGTGCTCTTCAAGTTGCACCAGGTTTGGCATTGCTTGGTTTCCGTAGCCAGGTCCATTGTTTTGTTGATCGCTCGACTTCTTATGCACTTGCAGTCGCCTGAGCCACTGCTGGAAGAGACGCGCTCAGTGTGCTGCAGGACTGGGCGAGAGGCTCCACCCGCCAGCTTGAGGCTTCGTGGGCTTCGTGTCCAGCTCTGTGCTGCGCACAAGCCCCCCGCCAATCCGTGCCGGTGCCTTTCTCAGAATGCCCAACCGTGGCGTCACGGGCATGCATTGCAAGTATGTCTGAGCATCAGTTTTTCGAGCTTAGCAATCAACTAATTTTGCATCCAGAATGATGGCTAACTTTTAACTCCAATGTCGCTCCAAAATTGTAGCTTGTGCGATGATCCAGAGGCTCAAGATCATAACCCGAATGGCTGCTAGACGCCTTGGCTCAGCACCCAAACAAGATCGGTGTTTCACAAGTTTCACGAGGCATAGCCCCGCGTGAGTCTCGAGATGGGATGAAGTGCTTCTGCTCATTTGCCTGTGCTTGCCCACATGTTTAAGCATGACATGGTGGCTAAGAGCCTCGCACCAAAGGTGCTGACCCACTCAGGCAAACAGAGAAGCTGGATTTCTGCGTGAGCGTTGCAAAAAGTATCTTAGGCAGGTTTTTGGATGTTTTGGGCAGGTTGCGTTTGTATGCCACGTTGCCAAGATGCACACAGGTTGAGGTTGACTATGGTTGA